CGGGGCCTGCGAGGCCCGGGGAGAGCGCGGCGGGGCTGGGCCGGGCGGCGGGGACACGCGCGATCGGGCTCCGATCGGGACTTTTTGCAAAGTTTGGGGGACGTTTACAGAAGTTTGGGGGGTTTTGCAAACGTTTCGGGGACGCTTTCAGATGTTTTGGGACTTTGCAAAAGTTTCGGGGTCCCTTTCAAAAGTTTTTACAACGATTTCGGGACGTCGCAAAGGAAAATGCGGAGCGTTACGAAAGTTTTGGGGCTTCGCGGAGGTTTCGGGATGTCGCATAGAAAGTCTGGGAGAACTGTGGAACTTGGGGGCTCTGCAAAGGTTTCGGGTTGGGAGAGGGTTAATTTGGGGCTCGTCCCTTTTTAGAGGGGGCGATTTGAGCAGCCCCCCACCCTCCCTGACCCGTGCACTGGGGGCCGGATCCTGCTCGTCTGATCCGGGTTGGGGGAACCCGCGTTCCTCGAAACCTGGGGGGGGAAAGACACCGAAACCACTCCCAGAAAATAATATAAAAAGAAGGTGAAATGTATTGAAATTCCCAATGATCCAGGCAGGATCTGGGCCAGGAATACAGAGAACAATGTCAGGAAAACTGGGAAAAACAAACCGCCTCCACCTTGCGTCCCCCAGCTCCGCGTCCCCTTCCCCGGCAGTGCTTTTGCAGCCAAACCTGCACAGGTTTAGGGCAAAATGAAGGGTTTTAGGGACTGGTATTAAAAGCCTGACACCCCCCACCCCACCTTCCCACCTTGCTTTGCAAAAAGATAAGTGGGATCTGGGGGTGCAAAGCCCGGGATTTCAAAGCGCCTCTGCCTGAAATCTGCCTGCTGCGAAGGGAAGGATGAAAGAATCCGGCTGCGACCGCAGCGAATGCAAATAACCGGGAGGCCGGTGGGTGTTTTGGAAAGGGAAAAAAAAAAGAGGGAGAAGAAAAATAACCAGTTGCTTTTTTAACCCGGGGAAAAACGCGGAGGAGGGGGGAAGGATAAATCCCCGCGTCGGAGCTGAATTTGCCGCCGGGGGTTTTGGGAAGGGGGGAGACGAAATTGGGCTTCGGTTTCGGTGAGGCTCTGGCACGGAGGAATTTGGAGCGGTGGCGGCAGGGGGGATGTTGCAATTTGTGGCATTCCCAGAAAGAGTAAAAAGGGGTTGGGGGGAGGGCAAAGAAAAACTCCAACGTGAACCCCGAAAAAGCCACCCAGCTATTTATAAATTTTGCAGCGCCAGCAAAATGGAGCCGGGTGCAGGATTATCATCATTATTAGTATTAATTATTATTGCTATTACTATTAATTGCAAAGTTTCCCCCTGGAATGTGGGGCTCCTGCCTCGCTCGGGACTCGCTGTCCCGGGCCTGACTCAGTGCTGGGCACGGCCTGGCCGCGTGCCCCGCTCTGCCCCGGCCGCTGCGTCACGGGCACAGCCCCGCCGAGAACAC